AGAGATTGCTGATATTTTCTTTGTGGACACAACACCGTTCGTAGATAAATATTTCGATGAACCAAAGGACCATGTCTATGATTGGAGAGGCGTATTACCAAGAAATAAGTATCTTACCAATCTCCTAACGGTAACTTATACTTTTGACTCTATCATAGAAGCTAATTATATTATAAAATCTATTGAGATATTATTTCAATATGTGTTTCAATTTCTTACAAAATATTGAAAATAATATAATGAAACTAATAATAATGTTTTGCAGAGATGAAAATACAATATTTTAATTTATAAAAAAAAACAATTAAAGACCATATATATGTATATGATCATGTAGGAAGTCGATGTGGCATTGCACGAATCAGTGGCAAAATGGAAAATAGTGGTAGGTCATCACACAATCAAAAGTGCAGGTCACCACGGTATTACCAAAGAGCTTGAGAAACAACTTTTACCTATCCTCGAGGTAATTTTTTTTTTTATTTTACTATATAAACCACTAAAACTTTAACTATGTGATAATCAAGAAATGAAATTAGCTTTCTTTCTAACCAGAACAAATGAAAAACTAATTAGCTTTCTTGAAAGTTAGGCTAACGAAGTGGATCTCTATATAAACGGGCATGATCATTGCTTGGAGCACATAAGCAGCATCAACAGGTGATTAATTATTATTATATGTAATTAAATTGAATCGATTAATATTGGATTTGTAACGTAAAAAACGGCACGCGTGTTTTCTGTTGGTATCTCCAGTGGAATACAGTTTATGACAAGTGGCGGTGGATCCAAGGCTTGGAAAGGAGATGTGAATCAATGGGACCCACAAGAAATGAGGTTTTACTATGATGGTCAAGGATTCATGTCGGTTTACATTTCGGAAGCCGAACTAAGCGTCGTTTTTTACGATGGTTATGGTCGCATTTTGCATCGATGGGGCACTTACTACAAAAAGGAGATTTATTCTGATATCTAAGTTCGATGATCTGATTTAAAAAAAGAAAAGGAAGTTAAGAAAGAAATATTTATATTAGTAGCTCAATTTGTTTAATGTTTTTTTGCTATTATGTTGATATTTCACGTGACATAATCATTATTTATTATTAATGTTGTTCAATTGTTTTCGAATTCTTAATGTATGAGAAATGGCTTTTACATGGGGATATATTAATCTATATATAGCCCCTTAATTTGATTTTTTATTTCTCCTACTTTTATATAAAGAATAGCCGAGAAAAGAAAAAGGAGAAACACATTAAAAATAAAGATACGCATGGTTCTTGTGTGCACATTACCTTTGGTGTAATTCATTAGTATCATATTGATTTCCAGTTATTATTTAATTTCGCTTGTTTCACATCAAAAAAGATATCATTGATTTTATTATTGTCTAAGATCTAACAAAACAAATAAAAAATTATTGGATTTTTTACCACTTTAATACAAATTTTGTGAAGATTGGATTCATGTATCAAATATTCCATAAATATTAATGTTATACATATTTTTTTGGACAAGGAGAGATCACTTTAACAAGTTTCTTTCAATTTTGATAGATCGAACCCAACCGACGGATTTTGAAACGGTTCTTCGAGTACCTTTTGTAGATCTCGAGAAAGAGGTGACGCTTCAGTTAGGAGGAGGAGGAGCAAACAGCAAGGAAATGGAGACGAAGGGCCATGACGATCGGAGCAAGGTGGAGGAAGGCGGCCTCAAATATTAATGTTATACATAAATAGGCAAAAGTATACATAATTAAAAGAACAAAAAGTGGGAGAGTCATGGGTTCGAATTGTCGTAGCCACCTAGCTGCGCTTTAAATTTAGAATATTTCCGAACGCGTACCCGGATGCAAGGTCTCGTGGGATTAGTTTTTGGATCTAAAAAGTATTTGGGATTTTAAAGGTT